CTGGCTCATTCTGCTCCCATTCCACTCTCAGAAACAGCCTCAGTGGGCTGACTCAGTGGCCAAAGGCACTTGCCACCCAAGCTGGAAGACTTCAGTCTCATGGTAGAAGGAGAGGACCCACTCCCACAAGTTGTCCTCTGACTTCCAAACAGGTGTGGTGGCATGTAAGTGCACACATAGGCATGTGTGATAAGAAATAAACAAGTAAGTAGTTAAATTAAAGAAGAGCTACTGTGCCAGTTTAGGTTAATATATACTTTGCTACAACAAACTGCTGTTTGTAGTTTCTGAGACCTGGAACTCACACCCCCATCCCCTCCCTGGGGATTGATTCTAGGTGGGGCTCCACCCCTGACCACACCCCTAGCCCTCCTTTTTTATTTCTTATTTTGAGACTAGGTCTGGGTAAGTTGCCCGGGCTGCTCTGGAACTTTCAATTCTCCTGCCTGTCTTCCAAGTAGCTGGAATTACAAAACCGACACCTAGGCTCAGTTTCAAATATTTTAGTAGACTGGAAAACAAGACAAACAGCCCAGTCTGTGGAGTCTTACCTCATTAGTACCGAGACAGCTCACGCTCAGGAACTCTGTCAGTCTTGAGTCACCGTCATGATAAGAGGAAAGGAGAGCTGAGTTGTCTAATGCCGAAACAGAGCATTAACGTGCAAAAAATCTGCTAGACAAAGTCTTTAGTCATTCTTTCCAAGCACAAAATCCTCTCCCCAGCCTGTTACATACTAGGGATGACGCCGGCCACTTGTTAGCAGGTGGCTGGCCAGATTCTATTTGGCTGTTCACATGTGGCCTTCTCTACAGAGTGGAAATCATGGGACAGAAGCCACGCTTGGAGCACATGCAGCCTGGGCGTGTGTTTCTAGTGGTGTGAAGCACCGGCCTACCTAGGGCCAAAAGGCTGACCTTTTAGTTATTTACTCATTTAAATTTCCTTTTCACTTATTCATTTGTTTTGTGTATGGACTTACACATGCCACAGTTTGTGTGTAGATGTCAGAGTACAACTCCTTATAGTTGTTCTCTCCTTCAACCACAGGGGTCCTCGGGGATAGAACTCAGGTTTTTAGGCTTGGTGGCAAGTGCCTTTATCCGCTGAGCTCTCTCACTGACCCCCCCCCTTTGTTTGTTTTTCGAGACAGGGTTTTTCTGTATTGCTTTGGAGGTTGTCCTGGAACTAGCTCTTGTAGACTAGGTTGGCCTCAAATTTACAGAGATCTGCTTGCCTCTGCCTCCTGAGTGCTGGGATTAAAGGCATGTGCCACCAACGTCTGGTCCTATTTTTATGTTTTATTTTGAGACTGAGTTCTGCTATGTTTTCCAGGTTGGTTTGGATCTTTAGTGTGCTACCATTCCTGGTTTATTTATTTCATGTGGGTGTTTGCTTTTGGCTACTACAAGACAACCTTGAATGTTGTTCCTCAGGTGTCATACAGATAGTTTTCTGCATATATGTGTTTGTGTGCAGCCATGCACACACGTGCAGCCATGTACAACCCTGCACACATGGAAGCCAGAGGATCTCACATGGTGGTTGCTCTGTGTGCGTGTGTGCGTGTGTGTGCGTGTGTGTGTGTGTGTGTGTGTGTGTGTGTGTGTGTGTGTATACACAGCTCAGCATAGCCCTGCATGCACATGCACAGAGAGAGAATCCGGAAGATCTCACCTGGTGGCTACTGTATGTGTGGTGTGTGTGGTGTGTGTGGTGTGTGTGTGTGTGTGTGTGTGTGTGTGTGTGTGTGTGTGTGTGTGTGCGGCCCTGCATGTACAGAGGTCGGAAGATCTCACATGGTAGCTGTTCTATCTCTCTCATTCCCTAGAGATAAAGTCTCTTGCTGCACCAGCAGCTGGGCTGACAGCAGCAGGTCCTAGTCTTCACCTCTCTCTGTCTCTGCCCCCCACAGTGCTTGAGTTACAGGCACTTATGGGAGCTGCACCCAGATTTTTACATGGTGCTGGGGATTCAAACTCATGTCCTTAGACTGGTCCTCTTACCATTGAGCCGTCTCCTCTGTCTTCTTGTTTCTTGAGACAGGGTCTTTAACTGATCTGCAGCTCAAATTCAGCTAGACTGATTGGCCAGCAAGTCCCAGGAATCTTCCTGTCTCTTCCTCCCCAGTGCTGGGATTACAGGGATATGCCACCATGTCTGGCTTTTATGTAGGCTCTGGGGATCGAGCTCACGTCCTCACGTGAGCAAGCATGTTACCCACTGAGTAGTCTCTACAACCCCATTTCGAATTTTTTGAGATAGGTCTCACTTAAGATGCCCAGGTTTTTGTTTTTTTTTTTTTAAAGATGCCCAGGTTTTTGTTTTTTTTTAAAAGATGCCCAGGTTAGCCAAGGCTGGCCTTGAACCTGCTATCCTCCAGCCTCAGCATGCGCCATTGTGCACAGGCACATTGGAGTCCATCACCAGCGTCTTGCCTCTCCTTGAGCTTGGTTTTCACTTGTTAAATCATAGGAGTGTGTGTTTTCCTTCCTGTCTGTCTGTGTGTCTGGTCTTAGGGAGGCCCTGAAGAAGATGAAAGATGTATATGAGAAAACGCCGCAGATGGGAGACCCTGCCAGCTTAGAGCCCCGCATTGCAGAAACCCTGGGCAACATTGAGAGACTGAAGCTAGAAGTGCAGAAGTATGAGGTCAGAGGGGTGCCCTGGGGAGGGGCGGGGGGCAGGCTGAGCTGCGTGAGTCACTGCGGGTGGGGGAAGGGGATGGAACCTTACCCTCCCGTCTAAGTTTTGGGTGTGCACGGGTGATGTCAGGAAATGTCCCCAGTCCAAGAGTGGGCTGACCTCAGTGTTTGCCCTGGAAGTCACGCTGTGATCCCCAACCAACCCTAGGCTTGGTTGGCAGAAGCTGAAAGCCGGGTCCTCAGTAACCGGGGGGATAGCCTGAGTCGTCACTCCAGGCCGCCTGATCCCCCAGCCACTGCCCCACCAGATAGCAGCAGTAGTAGCAACAACAGTGGATCCCAGGATAATAAGGAGAGGTGAGTGGGGAGAGCCAGAAGCCGGTTTGGCCCATAACCCCTAGTGAGGGACTGGGGGCGTGGTGAGGGTGGAGCCCCATGCAGAACGCACCAGTGAGGGGCTGAGGGCGTGGTCAGGGGTGGAGCCCCACCTAGAATCCACCAGTGAGGGGCTGGGGCGGGGTTCAGAGACCCTGGAGGGTCTGGTGCTCACCTTCCTCCCATCTCCAAGCAGCTCTGACGAGCCCCCTTCAGAAGAAGGCCAGGACACCCCCATCTACACTGAGTTCGATGAGGACTTTGAAGAGCCTGGATCCCCTATCGGCCAGTGTGTGGCCATCTACCGCTTCGAAGGTAAGAGCCCAGCGCGAGGCTGTAGCTCAGTGGTAGGGAGCCTGACTAGCATTCAGGAAGGGCTATTTTATCTTCTATTTTAAACGCTTTTGTTTATTGTGTGAGAGAGGTCAGAGGACCGTGTCCGGGAGCAGGCGCCCTCCTACCACGTGTGTCCTGGGGACGGAACTCTGGCTGTCAGACATGGCGGGGAGCACCCAGGCTCTTGATTTCTCAGTTTTATTCGGTCTGGGACCCCAGCCTGTGGGATGCTGCCGTGCACATTCTCAGTGGGGCCTCCCATCTAAATCCGCCCGCCCTAGAAACTCCCTCCCTCACAGACATCCCAGAGCTTTGTCCCAACGGTGGGAGAGCTCCCTGAGGCCGAAGCTGACAGTGCTAACCCTCACACCAGGGCGTGTGGCAGTTGGCTTGGAGCTGTGACTTCGGGTCAGACTCACCCAGTCTGACCTGTCTCCCCCTCCATTCCCCAACAGGTTCCAGTGAGGGAACCATCTCCATGTCGGAGGGGGAGGACCTCAGTCTGATGGAGGAAGACAAGGGCGATGGATGGACACGGGTCAGGCGGAGACAGGGAGGCGAGGGCTATGTGCCCACCTCTTACCTCCGAGTCACACTCAACTGAACCCCACCAGAGCGGGGGACGAGGGGCAGGGCTGTCAGCTGCTGCTTCCGGGCCACAGGGGGCCCCCAAGACCTTGCACTTTATTCCTGCCCTCGTGGCTTTTGGCTGAGACCTGTGTAACCTGCTGTCCCCTCTGTCATCCCACCTGACACCCTCTAGGGACCCACTTGTGCCTTCCCGAGTGGTTGTACATATTTGTCATTTAAGACCTCTCTTCCTGCCGCTCGGCTTGGGCCAAGTTTTGTTTTATATTAAAAAGTATATATATATATATAATTATATAACGTCCTTGGAGTCTGTGGCCCCGATGATGGAAATGGCCCCTCAGAAGGTACCTCTGTGGAGACACAGCTCGGCAGGGGGCATTGGCTGCTCTCAGAGGATCCTGAGTTGTTTTTGAACAGCAACATTGCATCTCATAACTGTTCAAGCCTGTGCCCCTTTGGCCAACCCTGGCAAAGGCACTCATAACGCATGTTGGGTTTTTAAAAGATTTATCTAGTTGCTGATGGCGCACGCCTTTAGTCCCAGCACTCGGGAGGCAGAGGCAGGCGGATCTCTGTGAGGTCCAGACCAGCCTGGTCTACAAGAGCTAGTTCCAGCACAGCCTCCAAAGCCACAGAGAAACCCTGTCTCAAAAAACCAAAAAAAAAGATTTATTTATTTATTATGAATACAGCATTCGGCTTCCATGTATGTCTGCAGGCCAGAAAAGGACACCAGATCTCATTACAGATGGTTTGAGCCACCATGTGGTTGCTGGGAATTGAACTCAGGACCTCTGGAAGAGCAGCCAGTGCTCTTATCCTGAGCCATCTCTCCAGTGCCCAAAATCACCTTTCTTCAGAGCCATACAGGAAATATGTGGAGGTGAACCTAGGTACACCCTGGCACGCCCTTCTTGTGCGTGCTACCAATGCTTGGGACCCACCTACTGTTTACCAGGCATCAGCTTTCATTCTGGCCGCATTCCCCTAGAGAGCCCAGAGAGGTCAAGTGGTTTGCTGGGAGTCACACAGCGTTTAAGAGGTAGAGTCAGATTTGAACTTTGATACCAAATCTCTAAGGTGTTTTTATTTAGAAAAGTCACGTGTTCACCAAGTGGTTGCTCTCTGGGTATCCCACAAAGTATGTGTGGATGAATAAGGGGTATATATGGGAGTGTGACAGTTGGTCTCTGGGTACTTGAGTAGGTATTTTGATAAACTAGAGGCAGCTATCATACCCCAGTCTCTTGGGGTCCAGTTTAAGAGACATCCTTGTAAACTTTGATCCCAGGAGGGGTCATATTTTTAAAACGTTTTTCTCATAATTTTCATAGAGCCCAAGCTTCAAACTCTATGAAGTAGCTGAGGCTGGCCTTGAACTCCTGATCCTCCCATCTCCATTTCCCAACTGCTGGAGTTTACGGGTGTAGACCACTTCACCAAGTTCATTTCATATCCTCTTGAATAGCTGGGAGCCACATCCTTGGGGTCTCTCAAGTCTAAAATGGGGGCCTGGCCGTCAGCCCTGAGGCTCTAGTTGTTGGGACAGGATGCTGAGGACACGTTGGAACTTCTCTAGGCGGTGGGCTGTAGTGTCCTGGGCCCCCTTGCTTCCCCAGAGTAGGCGGCGCAGGAAGCTGGTGGTCAGTGCCTCCCGTAGTTCTGGGTTGGGCCTGAATCCTGTAGGCAGAGTCAGGTGCGGTGCGCTGGGGGTGTGGCTCAGGCCTCTCCCTATATCTGTCTTTTAATGCTAGGAACTTTGATCCCTAGGAGCCAGTGGGGAGTGCCTGGGCAGGGGTTAGCAGAGGAAGGGGGCCTCTTGATCTCTCCAGGGGTGAGGGCAGGGTGCAGAACAGCTCCAGGCATGAGGGTGGCCAGTCCAGGCCCGCTATTCAGGGAGCCCTGCCTTAGACCCTGTGCTTGGAGGTGGGATTGAAGGATATGGCCATCCAGCTCGGCCAACCTTGGGCTGAGCCTGTCCCTTTGGAGGGTGGGGACACCTAGGGTCTTAGCAATTACCCAGAATAAGGAAGGGTCTTGGAGGTTGGGCTGGACTCAGGTCGGTGGGAAGTGGTCATGTTGGAGGGGACCCCAACGGGCCTAGATCTTCCCAGGCCAGAGGTTGGGGTGGCACACTATGGGTGTAGCTCTGCTGGGCTCAGCGGTCCCTTTTACAGTGGAGAGCAATATTTGTGGTTCATGATTGGGGTTAGCCCCTCCTCCGGGGGTGTGGCGTCCCAGTTGGCTGAGACTTTGTTTCCACCTTAGACCAGGTGACCTCCAAGGGGCCCTTGCTCACCTTGCAGGCGCTGGGCTGCCGCCCTGCGGAACCGGGGTGCATCACGGGCCACCTGTCGCGCCCCGAGCAGGGTGCGCAGCAGTCGGTCGCAGGACTCGTCCAGCGGCCCAGAGGTCTCCTCGCCCTCCATCAGACGCACCACCGGTGCCACGTGTGGCAGGGCCACCTCACCTGGGTTGCAGGGCCCTGTGGGAGGGGTAGAGTCCGCTGGAGACGGTGGGGTGGGGCATAGAGAAGAGCCTAGGTGGTCACAAGGGCGTGGCCAAAGGCAGGGGAGGAGGGGCCAGGCCGGGGCTAGGGGAGGGAAGGTGCAGATGATTGGGGAGGGGCTTAGCTAAAGAGGTGGGGCCTAAGCACAGGGCGAGGGAGGAGCCTGTGACCTAGAGCGGGGAGAAGCCTGGGATGGAGCAGGCATATGCCAGGGGAGGGTCCTGGAGCTGAAAAGGAGGCAAAGAGCGCATGGCAGAGCAGGCAGCCTAGAACAGAAAGCCTAAAAGAGGGAGAAGTGAAATCTGGGACGGGGAAGGGAGCCTGGGGCGGGGAGGGGTCCCGAGGCAGGCAAGGCACAGCCCAGGCCCTCTCTCACCTGTACTTTCATCCAGAGCCCGCATCAGAGGCTTTAGCTCTTGTTCAAACAGCAGCGCAGCCTCCGTGTGGTTCCTTCGTAGATGACGCCAAGTGCTCTCTAACCTGGATACCTGGACAGAGACAGGAGCCCCAACTAGTCCCCTCTTAACTGTCACCCGCAGTCAGGCGTCCTCCCCATCCCCGTCCCCAACGCACCTGGGGCATGAGCAGGGCGCCCATGACCCCAGCCAGCCCCAGCAGGTCCCCTGTCGCTCCTGGCCTCAGCGCCAACGCCAGCTCCACCAGCCCCTTCAGAGCAGCCGTGCGCTCCTCCAGATGCCCCGGGCAACCCAGCACAGCCAGGGCCCCGGCCAGCGCCAGGGTCTCAATCCTGCAGAGGTGGAATGCAAGGGTCTGGGGACAGTAGGAGAATTTGTGAAGGGAGTGGGGGCAGGAAGTGGGTTTCCCAGCCGCCTCCCCCCCACCACCACCACGGGGGACGTTAGTAGAAGCTGGGTTAGGAAGTCACACGCCCCGCCCCACACCTCACCTCTCTAACACCTCCAACCTCAGGCGATGACCATGAGGAAGTGTGAGTAGCTCTAGACCAGAGGCAACGCCCATGGCACGCCTCTGACTCTTGCTCACCCCCAGCAGGCCTACAGCCTTGACAAGAGAACACAAAGCTACGTGAAACAGACCAAGCCTGGGGATGATCCCCTAGTGAAGCCATTTCCTCCTAACGGAAACACTCCCTCCTGGACGGAATAGGGAAGCCCCTAGGATGAGAAGGGAAAGCACGAGGCTAGGGAAGTAGAGGAAACCTGGAGGTCTCGGGCAGGCTCTGAAGCTCGCAAGCTTCCCGAGATTCATAAGCACTAGCAATCTCCGGGGCTGCCTGCAGGGGGCGCTAGGGATGCGGCATTTGTGAGCGGGTACCCGAGCTAGCACTGGGCTTTTTATGTAACGCAGCCTCCCTCCGAGTCACCGGTGCTCCTGTGAGTGACCTCTCACCTCTACTCCAGGAAGTAACCTCATAAAACTCTGCGGTTCACTAAGCTAGACTCGGGTGGAATCATTTCCTTCTGCCGCCAGTGCCCTAGCTATGGTGAATAGACATTTGCTCACAATTCCCCAAGAAGAGCCACAGATTAGCCCAGCCTTGCCGGTGGAGGATCCTAGCAGATGACCCACCTGGCAATCCACCAGCAGCAGGTGTAGAGCGGTGCTCCCGGGATGGTGTGCCACCAACAAGTTTCGGAGAGTACTCAGGACTGTAGGGTCCAAGGGCCGATTCTGGGGGCCCAGCAGGCGGGAGGGGTGGCCAGGGATGCAGAATGAGACCTCAGAGTGTGGTCTTACAAAGCATCTGTCCGCTTCTCCCTCTTCCTCCTCGACTTCCCACCAGGCCTCTGGCTCCGGACAGCTTGCACTGGGGGTCGCTCTCTGAGCACTGGGCACTCGGGGGAGGAGTTCGCAGTATGCTGAGGGGTGTCCAGAGGCCAGGCAGGGTGTCCGGAGCGGCTTGGAGGGAGCCTTCATGTGAAGCCGTCCGTCAGAGGCTCTGAGACTATCCGCCATAGTTCCCAGGTGAGGCAGGGCCTTCAGCAGTGTGGGCTCGCTGCCTGTCCGATGTAGGGCAGATCTAAAAGCAGGGGGCGCTCCTGAGACAAAGGGGGGATATGGGTGTGCTTAGAGAAGACAGCTTGGCAGAGTGGGATGGAAGCCTCTGGCTAGCCTGCTTCGGCCTCTGGTTCAGCCCAATAACCGAGGATCCTTCCCCAACCTCCCAACCTCTGCCATCTTGAGAACAAACTTTCAGCCCATGGGGAATGTTCTGAATTCTGGGTGCTACATTTGAAATTTAATGTGTGTGTGTTCTCGTGTGGCTATGCATGCACATACACGCGGATGTCAGCGGATGATGAAGTTAGGTGTTGTCCCTCAGGCATCATCGGTCTAATTTTATCTGATCAGGGTTTGTGCCACTGGCCTGAGACCCCTGACTTTTTAAAACATGCGTTCTGGGGATTCGAGCTCAGGTCTTCAGGCTAGTGTGGCAAGCCCCTTACCAACTACACCATCTCCCCTTCCCCCATACACCCTCCCCCCCACCTTTTCCTGAGGGAGGGCTCAGTGGATAGTCTAGATTGCCTTGAGCTGAAGACCCTCCTGTCTTGGCTTCTTAAGTATCTCGACTGACACACGCCTGTGAATACAGACTAAGGCTGATAGACAAACATGTGAATTCATGTTTGTGACCCAGGCCTGATGCGTGCTCGTGTGTACACACACACACAGACTCACACAGACTCACACACGAATGCACACTTATGACCCAGACCTGATGTCTGCATGCACGCACACACACACACAGACTCACACAGATTCACACACGAATGCACACTTATGACCCAGGCCTGATGTCTGCATGCACACACACACACACACAGACACACACACACGAATACACACTTATGACCCTGTGACAATATCAAGGGGCTCTCAGTTGACCAGAGCAAGAAACCAGGGCGCCAAGAGGTAGATCCAGGGGCCTGAGCTCACCCGGGGGAGAACGGCAGAACCAATCTCTGAGGCACCATGGCCCTGGGGGTCCCTCACCTGCTTTGGCACCATCTTCTTCGCCTCTTCCAGAATGGTCCAAATTTGCAGGCTGGCTGAAACTCCACTTTCTAGGCCTAGGAGACAGAGGTGCAAAGGGCTGTGGTTCCAGCCTGTGTGGAGAAAAGGCTGCCAACCACTTTCGTCAACCTGCCGGCCACTGCAGAGATGGCTCTGTTCTTAATTCTTAGTTCTTAACTCTGCGAGTAGGCTGGCAGAGGCAGAGGGCAGGAGGATCTGCAGTTCAGGGGCATCCTCCACTACACAGTGAGTTTGAGCCCAGCCTGGGCTCCATGAGACCCTGCCTGCCTGAGATTGTCGGTCAGTACCTGAGAGGCCTGGTGGCGGCCAGGCTGTCTGTGAGCACATTCTCACTGAAGCTGCGTGTCAGTGGCCTCTGACGACTCACGGGCCTGGAGGCCACAGCTCCTGTGGCCTGAGACAGTGGCTGTCTGCGGGTCATGTAACTGTGGACCAGGGCCGACATGCTGGCAAACCTTTCATCTTCTAGCTGATAGAGGGCCGGTGGGCGACCAGGCCTGGGCCGCAGTGTCACTCGGAACACCTCAAAATGGAGGGTCTTGCCTCGCCAACGGCAGGAGATTACCGGGTAGCCGTCTTGGGACTCTGAGGCACGAACAAGGAAGTCGCCGTCTTGTCGTAGAAGGGCTTCAGCTCCCTGAGGATGCAGAATGGGCAGCATGTTTCCAGAACCTTCCCTCCCACAGGGGACAAAAGCCACCATGAAGGAGGGGCTCCACCCTGACCACGCCCACAGCCCCAAACTGGGGGATTCCAGGCCAGTGTTCGACTTCTGGGTCAGAACCCCAGAATTACTGATTTTTTTTTTTAAGATAAACTCTCGCTACGCAATCCAGAGTGACCTTAACTGCACAGCTTCCTAGAGTATTGGGGTTGAGTTGTTTATCAAGTTACCTGGCTCTAAGAAGTGTTGTGTTTCTTACTTTGACAAGGTCTCTCTATATAGCCTTGGCTAGACTGGAACTCACTGTGTAGCCCAGGCTGGCCTTTAACCCACAGAGATCTATCTCCCTGCCTCTTCCTCCCGAGTGCTGGATTTACAGGTGTGCTCCACCACAGCAACCTTGAGAGGAATTGTCTTGTTCCCCCACTCTATAGGTTGGTAAACTGAGTCTCACATAATTCAAACACATTGTCCATAGTCCCAGAGACTGTAAATCGTAGGCTAGGATCTGGACCCAGCATGTCTGATTGCTGGGCAATCACTTAGCTTTCTGTTTGCCATAGTTTTACTGGTTTCAGTGTTTCGGGGCTCTTGAGTATGTGACACCAAGGAGACGGACAAACGGTGGCTCAGCTTCAAAGGGAAGTGCCAGGGAGAGATGGGGCCAGAGGGGGAGACAGACGGGGGGGGGTAAGAGAGGACACAGGGGGCCTGTTCAGCCTCCATTACCACCCTCAGCAGTATCCCGGGGTCATTTCACTTCACCTTACAGTTCCCACTCAGCCGAGCTTCAAGAGCGGCTCCAATCCTCCAGCACGGCGGCCCCAACAGACCCCGGCTCCAAGTTGCTCATTTGAGACCCAGGATTTCCCACATCAGTGTGGGAGAGCCTTCCCACCAGCCCGCAGGGTCCATACCTGTCGAGACAGCTGACCGTGGTACCAGGGCTGGCAGGCAAGGTCGTCTTTATCCTGTGGCACCTGCATGGAGCTCTTGGGTGGAGGCAATCAGGGCTGAACTCTGCACATTCACCCCCGCCTCAGTCTTTTACATCTGCAAAATGGGAGCAATGAGTCCTGTACGCCGAGGGGCTGGGTCTTATCCTTTCTTCCTCATCTTATTTTTGAAAGTGGCAGACCCATTCATTCATCATTCGTTCATTCATTCATTCTAGTTTTTCTCTAGTCAGCTTTAATTATCAAGTTTATGCAGCGTAGAGTCACCTTGGAAGGGAGTCTCGGGTGAGGGCTTGTCGTGGTCAGATTTACATGTGTGTATCCCTGCGGGGGACTGTCTTCATTGTTAATTGTGTAGAAGGGCTTAGTCCCCTGTGGGTGGCATAGTTCGGCTCCTGGGAAGGTGGTACTGGTCTACGTGTCTACGGGTCTGTGCGAGCCAGCGAGCAGTGTTTCTCCATCCTTCGCCCCCCCCCCCCCAAGCTCCTGCTTGTGCTCCTGCCTTGACTGCCTTCGGCAAAGGACTGTGGAAGCTGCAGGAAAGCCTCGCAGCTCCTGAGCTGCTTTTGGCCCACGTCTTATCCCATCGCCAGAGAAGCATCGGGAATGAAGCTAGAATAAGCCCACACTCCGCACATAGAACAGTGGGTTTTGTCATGACAGCTTCACACCTGTGTAAGGCGTGTTCTGCTCATACTCGCGCCTTCTCTATTATTTAAACATTTGTGCACATGTGGTGTGTGCACGTGTGTGTTCGTACGTGTGTGAGTGTGCAGGTGTTTGCACCCTCAGGCGTGTGTTGAGGCCATAGGAGGATGTTGGGCATCTACTGCTGTCTAACTTGAGTTGGGTTCCACTGTCAATCAGAAGGCTACCACTTTGGCTGGACTCCCTGCCTCTGCCTGTCCGACGCTGGGCTTACTGCACTGTGTGGCCATGACCAGCATTTTGCTTGGGGACAGGGGACACTTGTGCAAGCACTCTTTCTCATGGAATCATGTCTGCATGGTTCATGACCCTCTCTGTCTGCACACCCCATTGTTCTGTCTCATGTCATGTATGTGCCTGTGTGTGTGTATAAGTACTTGGTTATATGTGTCTTACATGCGACAGAAAACGTAGTATTTGTTTTTCTGGGCCTGGCTTATTTCAGTTAACATGACAATTCCCAGTCCCATCAATTTTCCTGCAAATGGCATATTTTCTTAATTCCATTATATATACACAGGAGATTCCCCTTTTATTCCTCTCCAACTTTTTCTTTTTGGAGATCTTATAGCCCAGTTGGCCTTAAAGTCCTGCCTCTATTTCTTGAGTGCTGGGTCAAATATCTTTCCCACCCATGTGTGGATGGATTTCTAGGCTGATTCTACACTGGCCTCTTGTGAAGAGTGCACATTGTATCACAGCTCAAATTACACTATAGATAGCATACATACATATATACACACATGTATATACGTAGATATAAATAATATGAGCACATGTGGTAAATTAAACAAGCAATCTGCAACCATACTTACATGCATGTATATATTACATACACACACATGTGAGCGTACATATATAAATATGTATAGGAACAGGGTCTCATTGTACAAACCTGGTTGGCCTGGAACTGACAATGCATTCCAGACTGGCCTGGAAATCACAGAGATCTTCCTGCTTCTGCCTCCCGGTCATTGCAATTAAAGGTGTGTGCCAGTCTGCACAGCTAGTGTGTGTGTGTGTGTGTGTGTGTGTGTGTGTGTGTGTGTGTTGCTGGGGTTTGAACCTGGGGCCTCGCAGGTGGCCTGCAGGTACGGACACTGAGCTGCCTCCCAGCCTTAAATATCTCAGTGCTGATAGTGTAAGCCTCATTTCACAAGCATGAGTTCTATTACTGAACTATAGCCTCCAGCTCAGACGAGAAAGTTTTGTATACAAATAAGTACAATACACTTATTTGTAAGTAAGTATATATTACAAGAAACAAACCAATATACATTTGCCCTACTTTGCCATTCTGTTGCTGTGAGAAAACCCTGACCACAAGCAACCTGGGGGAGAAGAGGATTTACTTGGGCTACACTTCATGTCCCACTCTGTCCCCAAGGGAAGTCAAGGCAGGAACTCAGGCAGAAGGCCCAGCAGTCACGAGTGCAAACTGCTTTTTCAGAGGACCTGAGTTCAGATCCCAGCGTCCACACTGCAACCCACAATAGCCTGTACCCTCAGCCTCAGGGAATTTCTTCTGACATCCACACACACCCACAGCCCCGTCCCTACTTGAAGTGCATTTGGTTACACAGAGACACACATCTATGTCCCCCATGACCCATTCAGTCATAGAGACACACATACCCACATCCCCTGCCCACATGGCATGCATTCAGCAAACAGACACACAGACACCACACACACAGTAACTGAAGCAGAAACCATGAAGGAACACTGGTTACTGGCTTGCTCACTGGCTCTCTGTTAGCTTCTTATACAGCCCAGGTCCGCCTACCTAGGAGTGGCACTGCCCACTGTAGGCTGACATCCACACATGTCATATAAAGGAAAACACTGTATATGTAGAAATAGCAAATATACCCATAAAACTGATCATAAGTGACTTGCTTACTGTAGTTACCATCATTTAAATTGGGCACGGCTGCATATGTCTGTAAACTCAGTACTCTGGAGGCTGAAGTAGGAGGGTCATGAATCAAGGCTAGCCTGGGCTACAGAGTGAGACCCAATCTGAAAAAAAAATCCCAAGTAGTAAAAACAGAATCAAATAATAAAGTTAGAGTCGTCTCACGCTGGCAACCGCACATTTGAGGGCTCCTTGCCAAGGTGCAATATGTCAGGAATATATTACTCCAGCAGAACACAATGTTTGTTAGTCTTGAAGATCTCATGTAGCCAAGGCTGGCCCGGAGCTCACTATATAGCCCAGGATGGTTTTGAATTCCCGATCCTGCTATCTCCACCTCCCCAGTGCTGGGGTGTAGGTGTGAGCCCCCAGGTTGGGTTTATGTGTGCTGAGCACTCTCCCACGGCCTTGCAGCCCCACCGTCCTACACAGTCTTCACGATGGTACACAAGACTTGGAGACTGGTCTGCGAGTGATGAGTTTACGTTTAGAATTTCTCCTTGTATCTGGGAGCACAGCTATTTTGTTAGTATATTATGGTTAGATTTTAGATCTCAGACTGTAGGGAGATATCCACCCCGCCTCACCTGCTGCACTGACCACTCCCGTTTAGGCGTGGTCACGGGGGTGTGGATGTGAAGGGGGAAGGTTGGGTCTGGGGGTTCAGACCCCAGCTCACCCTTGGTTTCAGTCAGGTCACAGAGAGCGTCCTGAGTGTGGATCCTTGGAGCTGCAACTTGCGGGTCATCAGTTTCTTATGTAAATAGCTTCTCTCAGAATAAAATTAATCTATATTTAACCTAGTCCCATGTATCTTAATCTGTACATCAATATCTGACATTATTCCACAGGCCCCAGCTTGTGTCTCAAATATCTGTCAGACAAATCACCTTGGGTGAGAGAGAGGGCTGGCTGTCTTTTCTATCTATCCTCTCTCTCTCTCTCTCTCTCTCTCTCTCTCTCTCTCTCTCTATATATATATATATATATATATATATATATATATATATATATCCAAGATTGATCTATCTATCTATGTGTCTGTGTGTCTGTCTTTCTATCTATCTATCTATTTTGGAGTCTAGAAGTGGCCCTGGCCGAGGCTACAGAGAGGTATGCAGCAGGATTCTTGCCCCCTGAGTCACCACTTCCTGGAAAGGGGGCAGGGCAGCCTCAGCTGCTAGGCTCGCTGAGACCTGGGGCCCCGGGGTCCTGGAGAGAGCTGCCTCAAGGCATTGCACACCTGAAGTCAGGTGTGCTCCGGAACGTGCACATTTCCTGTTTGTCACCTGGGTGGAGTCCATGGCTGTGGTCATGAACCACACAAATTCCTGGTTCTCCAGTCACCTTGGCAGGAATGGGGGCAAAGCAGGACCAAGCTCTCGTGTAAGTTTGGGTCTCACCTCCCACCCTGAGCAAATATGGTAATTTAAGACCTACTGTGTAGCAGCCTGTCCCAGACCCTGAACCCCCAATTACCCCATCCCCAGCTACAACCAACAGCCAACAGATGAACGAAGATCATTTCTAAGGGTTCTGGGTGCAAGTAGCGAAACAGAAGATTTTGTAGTGGCAAGGAAGGCTAGAGGTTCAGGGTTCTTTTTTAATTTAGATTTTATTGTGTGCGGGCGAGCTAAGGTTCTAGGGGGAAGGTTAGAGCGCACGTCAGTGGACACGGTTCTCTCCTGTGTCTTCACGTGGGTTCCAGGACGCAACTCAGGCTAGCAGGCAGCAGGGACAAGGACCTCGGGGCATGGTGTTCTTTAAATATGAAAGGTCCTTTCTAGGAGGCAGGACCTGGGGGCTGAGACCTAGGTTTGCACTGAGGTAACAAGGCAGAGCTCGGGATGCCCGGGTGGTGTGGCGAGGTGAGGGTGAGGCAGTTAGGCGGGTGGCTTTTTGATGTTTTCACAGGACCAAGGTGCTGACGTGAGCGAGGACGGACCAGAGGGAAAGAAAAGTAGTTCCGGAGGGGAACCTCACATAAAGAGCGCACCCCATTTTAAACCAGCGACCACAGGCGACTTTAGGAAGGATTTGGGGCCACCCAGCCAGGGAGGGGCAGCTCCGGATTTGCGATGGCGCACACGAAAGTGGAAGCTGAGAGTGTTTCCGCAGAGAGCAGGAAACAGGCTGGGAGCTGCGCGAGGGCCACCGAAGGCACACCCGGGTTCCCGGACACGCATGACACGCAGTCACTCACTTGGAGACTTCTTCCGTCCCCCGCAGACTCTCTTAGATGCATCCTCGGGAGCTGACGGCTCCACCCCGATCAGTAGGGACCCCTGGATCTACCAAAGACCACCCCCTCACTCACCTGGGCCGGACTCTTGGGGGGGATCCGACGGGGCTCAATCTGGAGGCTCAGCGGCTGAGGAGCGCAGTGTCCACGCCCCAGCCAGGCCCAGCCTCGCCTGCACTCCACCTGGCTGGAGCCCAGCCCTAGCACCTGGCCCCGGCCCCTTCGGGCTCCGCCTCCAAAGGAACCTCCCAGGTGCTCACCCGCCCCCTTGGAACCTGTCTGCGGCTCGCGGCGTCCGTGTGCGAGTGGGGGTGTACGTCGTGTTCTCTATAGACTCCTCGTCCTTGGCAACTCCGAGTAGCCCCGCTCTTTAGACAGGCGCCCCGTGATTTGGGGATTCTTCCTCCCTTTTCTTCTTTCTCTGCCCACCCCCCCTTTTAGAGCGTTCAGCTACCTATCCGAGGACTCCTGGTCCTCCTGCCTGCGTCTCCCGAGGGCTGGAATGACAGTCGTGCCCTGCCGTGCGCGGTGCGGGGGACTGAACCTCCCAGCTTTGTGCACGCCGGAGAGCGCTCAAGCCACTCATCCCTAGAATGACTTTTCCCACATGCCATGTCTCCCTAGGACCTGGCCGAGTTGAGAGTGTCTCTCCAAATCCCCAGAGATCCAGGTCAGTTCAGGGAAGTCCTAGCCTGTGGCATCAAACCTGCTGCTTCCTCCGGGCCCATCCCCACCCAGCTGGGGTTTGGAGTTGGGAGACTTGTGCGGAAAGGCGACAGCCTCCATCAAAGACGGAGCTGGGCGGGAGTTTGGGACCAGGATGAAGACCGAGGGTTCCATTCTGATGCACGGAGGTAGAGGAAGTTGGGGCTTGCAAATCTGCGGCAAGAGAGGCGATAAGCAGTTGTTAAAAGGCCACGTTTATTCAAAACTCACTAGTACGGCAGGCTGTGGTGGGTGTTCAGTGCATAGAGCGCTGGCCCAGCATGTACGAACCCCTGGGTTCTAAGCCCAGCCCTGTACAAACGAGGTATAGGGTGCACACCTGTCACTACAGCCCTCGAGAGGCGGAGGCAGGAGGATCAGGAGTTCAGTTAGCCTTCGCTACATTGTGAAGTTCAAGGCCAGTCTGGGCTACTTGAGATTCTTTAAAGCATTCCATATCCCAGTGGAGAAACTGAGGCACGGGAGTGGGGGAGCTAAGCCATTCATGCAAATGTACCCCAGCCTGGGAGCGGTAGGGACTGAATTTGAATTTAGAGCCCTAGTTGATGTTTTCCAGCCTGCCTCGTTTTTTGCAGCCTGGCCTCCCCCGGTAATCGCCGACCCTGACCATGAGCAGAGAAAGTAAATTGTTACCCATTTTACAGAAGAGGGAGAGGATGCGTAGGAAGTCACAGATGCCAAAAATAGGGGATGGAAACTGCCCTTGCTTGTAGAGTTGCAAAAGGGAAGATTTCCAGGCTGTGCCCACCTCTTCCCCTCTTCCCGCTATGTAAATCAGACTCAGGGTGTTCCAGGGACGCGGTCTAGCACCGCCTAGTGGCCATAAGGATGAAAAGGCCACTAGGGGAGGGGAGCTATTTGGAACCTGGTGAGCTAAATCCTTGAGAGGCTTCCCTGCCAAGGGAATTTTAGCTCCTAATAATAGGAGCTAGATTATAAGTGAGTAGGAAGGCAGTAAATATTTGTTAAACAAACGAATTAATGAATGACAGGGAAGGGTGATCTACCTGCCTTTGCCTCCGGAGTGCTGGGATTAAAGGCGTGCGCCACCAATGCCCGGCTCTTTTTTTCCCCCACTGCGTCCATTACTGTTGCCTGTGGGTGGAGGCAGGGTGAGCAGGGCCATGTGAGGTTCAGGGAACTCTTGGGTTTTGACCCCGTGGAAGAAGGAAGTAGGAGTCATAGAGGACTATGGGTAGAGGAGGGATGGTTGAGACTTAACTCTGTGCTCAAGGGTGCCCTTTGGGGGCTGCAGCGGGGACAGGCTGTGAGAGACCAGGGCCTTCCACAGGGCACCAGGAGGAGCCAGAGTAGGCAGGAGGAGGTAGTGGCTGCAGGTGCCCGGTCCGCTCAGTGTGGGTGGAGAGAGGCGAGGTCACACCAGTGCGTGGAAGGCGTGGGGACGGAACTGCAGGTGCTCCCCTCCGCCCCACAGCTCCTCCCCACCCCCCACCTCCAGGCCGACAGTTACAGTCACAGAAGAGGAAGTGGTGTTGTAGTTGTCCCCACTGGGGCAGGCAGCGGCGGTGGTGGTGGGGCGCGAGGGTGCACGGGGGCCTCCCCGAGGGGGAGAGGCAGGCAGCCAGCATGGAGCTCTGGCGACAGTGCACCCACTGGCTGATCCAGTGTCGGGTGCTGCCTCCCAGCCACCGTGTGACATGGGAGGGGGCCCAGGTGTGTGAGTTGGCACAGGCACTCCGGGATGGTGTCCTCTTGTGTCAGCTGCTTAACAACCTGCTTCCCCAAGCCATCAACCTGCGGGAGGTTAACCTACGGCCCCAGATGTCCCAGGTGAGCCTGCTGGGTGATGCCGGGGCACGGCTGGGTTGGGGGAGCACCTCTCCAGGCCTGGGTCTGGCTAAGGGGTGGTGCTCAGAAGAACGGGGCTCTGGGTGGGTTTACAGACTCTGTATTGGCTTGCATCTGCCCTGGCAAACTAGGGGGAAATTCCCCCAACCCCAGGCTAACTGTTGGGACCCATCTAGAGGGGGCCTAGGGGCACCCGGGTGCCCTGTGGATAGCCGAGAGGGTGCATGAGGTTGGAGCCACCAGATTCAGGCCTTGAAGAGAGGCCCTCAGTAGTTTCTCCCCCACCTGGGGCTCCTCCTCTTCCGGTCCCCCCTCCTTCCTCCTCACATTTCCTTCACCTCCGTTTCCTGCCAGGGCTCTCTGGGCTGTGTGTCCCGGAGGGCGGGGGTCTGCAGTGTTATGATGCCCCGTGGCTTCTTAGCTCTGCCTATCCCATGCGGGGCCCATTGAAGGCAGGGCTCGGGCCTGGGACTCCAAGAAGGTCCAGGGTAACTCAGAGTCTGGCCCTTCTCCACCCTTCCAGGGGGGACATGCTCAGATGTACTTAGGAAGTATATTCAAATCCTTATTTGAATGTGGCTGGGGCGGTGGGGGAAATGTGACTGGTGGCTTTGTGCTCTCTTCCCTGCTTCCCCGGGGTTTCGGGAGGGGCTGATGCTGGGTTTTGAGGGGGTCTGATAGCCCTAGGAATGGAAGACATAGGTTCAAGTCAGAGGGGTACATAGCCTTACCATGGAGGCTGAGGGATATGGGCTGTGTCTAAGAGAACATGGTCTTGCCCTGGGGTCTGAAGAGCGCAGTCCTGGTGTAGGGTTGTCTACCATCTTGCCTTCCGTCTTTGAGACCAGCACAGCCAGTCCTTCCAAGTCCCAGGGTGCTCTCCCTGGAAATGACCAACAGTGGTTGGCTGGGGCCTGGTCTCTTCCCTCATGTGAGGGGTCCCATGTAGTTGTCAGTGGTAGTGGCCCCTGGATCTGTTACAATTTCCCTGAGGGGAACAGGGAACACAGCACCCACAGTCCTCCATGGACTGTCCCTCTGGCTGGCTACAGGCCATCAGAGATTTGCCTACATTTGCTTGAACTCCAGTAGCTTTAAGGGCTTGAGGAAGTGGCCATGGGACACGTTGGGCCCCAGCTCTGGTAGGGAGTCTGTGATGTGGCAATTGCAGCTGTTGGGAAAACAGTTAGAGTTAAGGACGAACCTCCATGCCTGTGCATCATAGCAAGGCTGATTTTGTGGAGGGCAAGTGTGCATGGTGTTAATCCCCAGAGGGCCTGCTGAGTTCCAACGATAGTCCTAATATGTACCGGGCAATGGTGGGAACTTGGCTCTGGCCCACAAAGAGCTCTTAAGCACAAGGAGACAGAAAAAGATAGGTCCCAGGCCTATGTGCTCTGGGGATGTGGGCAGGACACTGCCTGGGAGAATTAGGCCTTATGAAGAGAGGGATACTTAGGCTGGGTTTTGAAGAGTCAGTAGGAGTTTTCCCATTGTTCTGGCTCCTAATATCCTCTTGTATGAAGCCTCAGGCTGGGCTAGAGTTCACCTTAACCCTCCCCATCCATCGTCTCTGTGGTTCCCAGTCTCAGCTCTTTTCTCCTTCCTTAGAAATTCTGTATCTGGTGGAGATGTGTGTGAGAACCAATGGGCTATGCACAAGATGCCCTAGGGAGGCCACCTCTGGGCCTTCGGGACATTGTTAGCAGAATGAAGTCAGGGACAGAGTGGCCCATGGGACAGGGAAGGCACGGCTGGTGGAAACAGAGACAAAGGTGTAAAGGTTGGAATGAGAAGACTACTTGGGTCCTCCATTTCTTCATCACTCTCCTTTGCCCAGCAAATAGGGAAGAAATAATATATACACTATCCATCCATCATCCATCCACCATCCATCCATCCATTCATCATTCATCTATCCACCATCCATCCATCCATCATCATTTATCTATCCACCATCCATCCATCCATGCATCCATGCATTCACCCATACATCCTTTCATCAATCCATCTATTCATCCATCGACTCATCTATCCACCCACCCATCTATCCATCCATCCACCCATCATTCATCCATCTACTTGTACATCATCTGTCCATCCACCCACCCATCCACTCACACACCCATCCACCCATCTAACCATATCTATCCATTCATCCATCTACCTTCTATGAATCCATCCATCTGCCCACCCACCCATCCACCCATCCTCCATCCACCTACCTATTTGTCCGTCTGTCCGTCCATCCATCCATCCATCCATCCATCCATCCATCCATCCACTCACTTCCCCACTTCCCCATCCATCTAACCATATCTATCCATCTTTCTACTCATCTATCCATCCATCCATGCTTCCATCCATCCATCCACTCCTCTACGCACTCTCCCATCTATCCATCTAACCATACCTATCCATTCATCCATCTTCCTACCCAATCACCCATCCACCCATCCACCCACTCACCCATCCATCAAACAGTTACTGTGCAGGGCAAGCCCCGTCCTTGGTGCTGGGGACTATGGGAGTGGGGCACACATGCTTATGTTTTAACACACCATATTCTGAAGGAGGGAAATACATCAATGAGAAAACAAGAACGGGGTGTACATTTTTAGGCAGTGGCTCATACTTTGAAGAAATTCTTGGAAAGGGTGCTTGGTGGCATTTTTCTGTAGGGAATCTAGAAAGCCTCACTAGAGCAGAAGCCTGGAAGCAGTGAAAGTGAGTCCTGTGATGGTGACCCCAGCAGGAGGTTCTGCCTGTGCAAAGGTCCTGAGGTAAGGGTAGGCAGACACCTATGTGCTCAGTGGCTGTCCCAGCATTGGTGGCGGAGGTCAGATTGGAGCGTTTTCAGACTGGTCAGTGCCTATAAGGCCTAAGACCCACAGAAAGGACGATAACATCATGGTTAGAAACAGAGGCCTCAGACAGCACAAATGTGCACGTCCCTCCTCTGTAGCTAAAGGCCTGAAGATCTGTAGCTAAAGATCCAGCAGGGTGTGAGGTTCTTTAAACTGCAGGAGAAGCAGGAGTTGGGGTAAAAGACATTGCCTCCAGCCCTAGCAAACCATTCGGGTGGGTGTGAGGGCGTGTACCTGTGCACACTGGTCGAGCCTTTGGGTGGCATGTCTGAACTGAAAAACAGAAGCCGGCAGGGTGGTTGGCTTGGGTTTCGTGGCTTGCGTAGCAGCGTTTGCTGTACAAACGTGGATCCGCACACACATTAGAAAGCCAGGCATGGCTGTGAGCCCCTCCCTGCAACTCCAGGGCTGTGGGCTTGCTGGCTGCCAGCCTAGCTCCAGGTTCAGTTAGAGACTGACTCAGTCAGGTGGGTGGTGATAGCACATTCACATCTGTCCTCCGATGCACACACAGGGAGACAGACAGACAGACACACACACACACACACACACACAGTGCAGCACAGACAGAGTGTGGTGTGATCTTTGGTGTGTCAGACAGGGTTTGGAGGTCAGCAAACACAACAGAACCTTCCAGACAGTCATGTGCTTGGTTAAATGATACATTTGTGTGATTGAAATCGTGTAAGGATGCATGGAAATGGAACTCCCAACACCATCCCTCAGCTATGGCCTCCCTGAGTGTATGAGCGCAAACAGCAATTTGGAATTCAGGTGGTTAGGGGCAGGAGTGTGGGTGACCCCAAAGCAGCCATGCTAGAAGGTCTGCACCCCTCGTGGATGGCAGCTCGGCTATGGCTGTGCAGACGGAGCCCGTTTCCTACACCTTCCTAGTTCTGCCTGTGCCGCGATTCCGAGGCCGTATACACTTAGGGCAGAGTTGCATACAGTGGCAGGGGCCAGTGGCTGGATGCTCATGGGAGGGTGCCATGGCCTGTTCTGGCCCTTCTCCTACAAGGGAACAGTCTGTAAGAAGCCACAGCTGAGCTCATGAGGAGCGTGGTAGTTTGGTTCAGACGATAGTCCTGTACCACATTCTGTCTCCTGTGTGCTAGGATGACAGGTGTGCCACCGCATCTGGCTTATGTGGTGCTGGGGATGAACCCAGGGCCTCGTGCATGTTCGGCCTACCCGCCAAGGCCCAGAAGCAGCATGGGCTCTTAACCCTAGGTATACGGGAGTGCGAGGGAGGCACAGTTCTGCTCTGAGGGGGCTTTTGGTGGTACCTGGGTGGGGACAGAGGAGCTATCGCTACCCACGGTATACAAGCCGAGTATGCCGTAGTGATCGGTGCCTCGTCTCCCAGGTTTCAATTCA